AAAAGATGAGTCTTATGAATAAAGTTATAATTCTTCTAAACATGTTGACCTATTCATATTCACTAAAATTTACACAAATTTAAAAACCTGAATGCAATAGCATGTTTACCCAGGTGCCATGGTTAATATACACTAGTGATTTTTAAGCTACACTCTAAAGGTTCCATGACACTCAGAAACATCTCCATTACTCTCTAATTGACTTAAACAGAGTTCTTATCAACTGTTTAACACATTTTAACCTACAAATTAACACCCTTTGATCATTCAGATTAACCTTTCTTCTGTGAGTCAATTATATGACAAAAATAAATTTTTTCCAAAAAAAAATTAGGAATATAAAACAAAAATAGAAAGGGAGAATGCTTTTTAAAAAATAACAGATAGTCCCCAGCTTACCGTGGATTTAGGATTTTTCAACTTTACATGCTGTGAAAGTGATATGCATTCAGTAGAAGCCATACTTCAAAATTTGAATTTTGATCTTTCTCTGGGCTAGGGATATGCAGTAAGATACTCCTGATGCTGGGGAATAAAGTGAGCTGCAGCTCTTAGTCAGCCACTCCATTATAAGGCTAAACAGCCAATGCTCAGAATACTGTGCTACCAGATGATTTTGACCAATGGTTGGATAAAGTGTTCTGAGCACATTTAAGGTAGGCTAGCCTAAGTTATGATGTTTGGTAGGTTAGGTGTATTAATGCATTTTTTACTCAGTTATGTTTTTGACTTACAATGGGTTTATCAGGAGGTAAAACATGGTAAGTCCAGGAACATGTGTATATCCCTCCACATGAATGGAAGAGATTATCACAAATTTCATAGTAACTGGAACATGCACAGAAAACCCAAAGTGTTCATCAGAGCCAAGAGAGAGGGGTAAAGAATTGAATGGGAAAAATAACAAGTTGGTATTTATTATGATTCTTAAAAAGAAACAGAAAATGGATTAGATACAGTATCTTTAATAGGTTCTTACAATCAAAACATCAGATATAAAGAAGATAGAAAAACAAGGACAAAAATCTGAGTTAAGATAAAGACTTTTAAGAGGTCTGAGACACGTTTGAAAGCAGTGATGCAATTGAAGTTAAATAAGAAAAACACAGCAACAGGTGGGGTGCCTGCAAAAAGTATTTACCTCTTGGTCTCTCTCCTGCTTAGTGCATTGCCTTGCACAAATTCAATGAATGTTCATGATGATGACCACTGCTGAAATGACAAAGCAGAGAACAGACTAAGGTAGGACAACCACTAAAGGGAAAAATGAAAACCATTTCTAAAAGATGAGGTAGGATTATTCATTAGAGCTAATTCTCAAATACTGTTGAAAGCTTTATGCTAATCTGCAAACGAAAAAAAAAGTTTCTCTAATTTTAGCCATTCACCTGCACCTTTCTTCAAAGCCCTATTTAAAACTTAACACTTCTAGATTAGTTTCATCTTGATTTAAGGATATTAGTCACCCAAGTAATCTATTCTGTGTGCCACAGCATCTGGTATTTCCCCTGAAATAGCAGTTCCTACCGCTATTGCAGTTGCTTGTTCCCATGCCTATCTACCCAGAAAAACTAAGCTTTTGGGGGGTGAGGTGGTTCATTAAGGGTACAAAGAATTAATTCACACTGATTGCATCTGTTAGATAAACTAAGCTTTTAAGGCTTGTGACAATGAAGTAGGAGCTGTAGGCTGGGTGTGGTGGCTCAGGCTTGTAATCCTAGCACTCTGGGAGGCCGAGGCCAGTGGATTGCTTGAGCATAGGAGTTGGAGACCAGCCTGAGCAAGAGTGAGACCCTGTTTATAAAAACAGAAAAAATGGGCATGGTTGCACCCACCTGTAGTTCCAGAGGCTGAGGCAAGAGGATTACTCAAGCCCAAGAGTTTGAGGCTGCTATGAGCTACACAGTACTCTATTCAGGGCAACAGAATGATACTCGGTGTCAAAATCAGAAGAAGAAGAAGAAGAAGAAGCTGTAGCTTTTCTTTTTCATTATACTTCAGAATGTACAGCATCTAGAACAGTGGTTCTCAACCTATGGGTCATGATCCCTTTTTAACGATGAAAATACATTGCAGCATTAGGAAGGTTGAGAACCACTGATCTAGAAGATGCTTGATATGGACTTATGTACTATTATCAGCTGAGGAGGGCAGTCTGAAAGAATGGATCAACAAGTATTTCCCAATTCATTTAGTGTTTAGTAAATATTTATTAATTTTCTAGACTATATGAGAAACTACTAAATACTTCAATCAGGTGAAAAATCTCAAGTCTTTCAAAGTCTCTTTCAAGAACTTTTGATATTCTCTCCACACATAGGTAGAAAGGTAAGTAAGTAGGTAGGTAGATAGAAAATAAATAGAAATACCTGTATCTCCCAGGAGTTTGAGTTTGTAGTGAGCTATGATGACACAACTGCACTCTAACCAGGGTGAGAGAGTTAAGACTCTCAAAAAAAAAAAAAAAAGAGAAGGTCTCAAACAAAAAAAAAATTATTTTAGTATAAGAAGACAAACAGTGTAAGATAATGGATCTGTTTCAATAAGCCAGTGTCAATTAAAAAACACCAAGATTGTAGTAAAGAAATGGGTCTTCTGTATTGTTTAAAAGATATTTAAAAGACAGACCCACCAACGTATAAACTTCATTGGATCCTAATTAAAGCAAACCCACTATAAAAATACGTTTTTGAAACAACTGAGGGAATGTAAATAAAATCTAGATATTAGATGACATAGATGAGTTATGGACAATTTTAGTTGAATGATGGCATTGTAGAGAGAAAGAAAAGGTGGAATGTTTTAGGGATGCACACTAAAGTGTTACAGAGATGAAATAATAAAATATTTGGGATTTTCTGCAGGGAAAAGTATAATTCTTATTTACCAAACCATATAAATCAATAAAACTAATAAATACCATATGATAATATATAAATAATAGTAAATTTATTTACAGTAACCCAATAGAATAGTAAATCAAAATAGGTGCTTCTGCTATAAAAACTGTAGTATATGGTACCTGACCATACCTATACAAGGAAAGACAAGCAGTGCAAAGCGGGGAGTTTTGAGAGCGAGGGCAGTTCAAGGGGGCATCATTCCAACAGTACTGTATAGGAAGGTATTCCTAACAACATTTAATTCTGTTGCTTTAGGTATTTCCATAGGACCACAGGGAAGGTATGATGGAGCCAGGACTAAAATCAGATCCTCTGATTATTAGCATGCCCTTTATGTTTGCCCTTAAACATGATAAAATCCTGTGGAAGACCTAATCTATACTTTCATTTTTAGAGCTTTTAACTTTCCTGTATCACTCACTCTTTATAGTTCATATCATCATTAAATAGTTGATCATATTAAAACATTTTATTTATTCTGTTTGAGTGCTTCTCATGCTGATATTTAATAGAAGAATGATTTTAAAAGGAGGAGAGCAAATCTAAGCAGTAACAAAAAAAACCCACTTTGGCCAGGTGTGGTGGCTCACACCTGTAATCCTAACACTCTGGGAGGCTGAGGCAGGTGCACTGCCAGAGCTCAGGAGTTCTAGACCAACCTCAGCAAGAGAAAGACCCCGTCTCTCTTTAAAAAAAAAAAAGCAACAATAGGTGTTGTGGTGGGGTCCTGTAGTTTCAGTTACCAGGGAGGCTGAGGCAAGAAGAACTCACTTGAGCCCAAGAATTTGAGGTTGCTGTGAGCTATGATGCCATGGCACTCTATCTACCAAGGGCGTCAAAGTGAAACTCTGTCTCAAAGAAAAAAAATACATAAATAAATAAAAATAGAAAAACTAGCTGGGTGTTGTGGTGGGTGCCTGTAGTCCTAGCTACTCAGGAGGCTGAGAGGTAAGAAGGTCGCCGAAGCTCAAGAGTTTGAGGTTGCATAGCACTCTGCCCTGAACAGAGGGAGACTCTGTTTCCAAAACAAAACAAAAAAACCACTTTAACATATACACCTGAAATTTGTGTCTTGCTGCCAAAAACATAAGATAAAGTTTTCCACTTAGGGTACAAAGCATGGAAGAGAGGGCAATGTAAAATAAGCAGCACAGAGAAGAGGTAAGTAATTAAAGGGAACAAAGGAAGAGAGAAGAGAGAAAAATCACCACCAACAAAAAACCCTACCAATGCCTATTTGCAGTACCTCCTAGCTGCTTTAAAAGAGATCAGTTCATTCTATTCCTGCAAGCTTGAAAAATAGCACAGCTGCACTGGGAATATGTAGTCTTGCTAAGAGCCCTAGTTCTGCTGCTACCCAATTAGCTATTTGGCCTTGAACCTTGATTTGTTTCCTAAAACACCAAGGGAGAATAATAGCACCTGCCTTACTGGCCTCCCTGGGTAGACGCGAAAGTGAAGTGAGTTAGAAAATGTGAAAAGATTTTAGAAAGCTTTGTTATCTTTTAATTCTGTTACTAATGTCTTATAATTAGGTTGAACATCTTTTGAGGAAAAAAATATTAAACTATAAAAAAATAATAAAAACCTCTCACAAAACCCAGCCCTAGGGAGCATAGGTTTTATTGCTTCAATTTTCGAGTGAGAACATTCTAATGTAATTGTAGGGATGAGAATAAGATCAGACCTCCTCATCCTTTTCATATCCTTCTCTATTCTCCAATAGTTCAAGCACCAACCAAAAGGGTTGGGAGCAGCTGAGGAGAAGGTAAGCGGAGGAAGCTCGGATGAAAGCGGGAAAGCTTGGGATGGGGAAGGCTGCTCGCTGAGAAGCAGGAGAGAAGCGATAGTTTAAGAGATGGGACAAAGAAGAGAGAAAGAGCGAAGCAAACGATGCCTTTTTCCACAGAAGGGTTCGGGCGAGAGCACTTACTGCTGGTAAACGCCATCCAAGCGGGAACTAGTTACCATAGCAACCGCGTCGCCGGCGGCGGGGCGGGACTTCCGGTGTGTGCCTCCGCCACTGCAACTCGACTAGGGACGCGCGCCCGTCGGCGCAGTGATTTCCGGCGGAAGAAGAAACCTTTTCCTGGTTCTGGCCGACCTCGGGGGAAAAAGTGGGCACTGCTGGTTATGTAAAGTTTGGTAAGTCTGGTAACATATAAAGACCCGAGGGGGTACCCAGCAAGGTTGGGTAGACCAGCTGTGATTGTAAGGAAGTCCCAAGTCCCAGTCTGAGGCGTGCCCGCTGTCTCGTTAGGTATATACACTTTCTTGTTGGAAGAAATTGCCTGGTTTCTGGGGCTCCTGGTGGTTTCTCTTCTGTAGAATGGCGAACTGAGTTATCTTCAAATGTAGAGTTTCGGAGCATCTTTCTTTGCGAGGTCTGAGCGCCTCTCCAGTAACAAGGGAACTCTTGTTTTCTACTGGTCTGCACTGGGGTTTTTTCGCATCCTTTCCAGGTAATCTGGTAGAAAGAAGTAAACTGCAAAAATTTTGAAAGAATGCCCTCAAATGCATTTTAATTCCTTGATGGTCTGTTTAATTTTCTTTATTCGTTCATTTTGTGAATATTTATTAAGCTTCTCCAGTGTGTTAGTCCTTGCATGTGTACTGGTTTTACCACAAGACTAGCAGAACTATATATTCTTAGAGGCTCATTCACCACTTAGGTCCATTATCAGATTCCTTTTTTTATGCTGTTGTGTATTCATTAACTTACGATATAAGCATATATCATGAAATATCCAACAGGTTTTCTATGTCTTGTCTGTATACTTACACATGGAAATCTTGGGGTGTTTAAAATGAAATATGTGCTTCCTCAGATTTGCATTATAATAATTAGCACAACTAAATATTGAAGAATTTAGAAAGAGAGGTGCATGCAGCTGTAATGAATTGTTATTAATATTTCTATTCAGTTGATCAGAGAAGGCCCACTTCTTGTTCAATGGATGATGGCAGTTGAGCAGACCCCAAAAAAGGATTGGTACAGCATTCTGGGGGCAGACCCATCTGCAAATGTGTCAGAGCTAAAACAGAAGTATCAAAAACTCATATTAATGGTAAGTCTTTTCTGTCAGATTTTAAATCATGAGGGCAAAAATTAGTTTTTTATGTGACCAGAAATTTAGATTTCCAAAAAATAAATGATAAGGTGATACTAATTTGATTTAATTGACACTTTGAGTACTACTACAGAAAAACTTTAAGGTTGGGACAGCATGAAGTTAGAAGCAAGAAATCTGAGTCAGGCTGATTTAGTTAGAATCCTGACTCTGCCCTTGTCATGAAAACTCAGGCAAATTACTTTCCCTTGTGTATGCCTCAGGGCAGATTAAATGAAATAAATCCAAGTTAAATGCTTGGAAGTATTGTTACATAATGAACTGCATCTAGTAGCCACTTTATTAAGCTTTTGAAATGTGGCTAGTGTGAACTGAGATACATTGTAAATGTAAAATATACTTCGGATTTTGAAGACTTAGTACAAAAAAGGATTTTAATCTAAAATTTTTTCATGTTGATTACACATTGAAATATTTTGGATATACTGGCTATTTTGTATATTGTACACATAATGTGTCTGCATATATTTGCAAATATTACCCAAATTAGTTTCTCTTTCTGAACTGTTACATTAATTTTTTTTTAAATCTATGCTGTGATGTTTCTTAAAACAATGTCAGTAACTCTGTAATGGTGTATAGTTAACTCAGCTTACAAGGAGAGTAAAGAACTATTATTTATGCATCATTTGTTGTTACTCTGTTTTATACCAGATATATTAATGATATTTTCCCCAATAGTGTTCGTTGTGAGAGACATTAGCTAGTTCACCATTAGGAATATGCTAATATTCCTGCCTTAGGTAATAAGTTGGACTAATGACCTTAAGGTATCTTTTGTCTCAGAAGTTTTAAGATTTTTATCAGTAAAATCAACCACATTTTATTGAAAATTTCCTAATATTAAATCATCCTTGTACCTCAGTTAATTGTGAATTGAGGCTAGGGAAGTAGACGGGGTCTCTGGACATCTTGCCAGTCCTTGTAGGCCTTCTTGTCTTTTAACTAGTTAATGAGAAAACACTTGAACTTACATGGTAGCTTCTGACAAACACCAGAGTGCCTCAAGGCCACATGTTACCCTAGTGTGGCCCCTCCATTGAATCCAACATTCACAGAACAATTCCTTTTAATAAAGGTTCCATATCCTGGGATCAGAAAGTCAGTTGCTCTATCTCATTGCCAACGTTTGATGCTATTAGTTAGTGGCTTTCATTTCAGCTACTGAAGTTTCTCAGTTTTGCCACCAATGACTTTTTGGGCAGGGTAATTCTTTGTTATGTGGTTTGTTCTTTGTTTTGTACAATATGTAGCAGCATCCCTATATGCCAGTTACAAACAAAAATAACTTCCTGCGTGTAAAAATTGCCACATCCTATTGACAATCATTGTACTACTCTACTGTGTTTGTACTGATATCATGTTTTTTTTTCCTCTGATGACAAATAATGTTGAGCCTTTTTAATTGTGATTGGTTAATTTGTTTTCATTGTGAAGTATCTTTTTAAATATTTGAAATATATTCTTGACCCGTGTATATTTTCTCCTTGTTTGTGGCTTACACAGGTCATTTTTTTTTAATTGTGTTTTTTGATGAACAGAGTTTTTTTGTTGTGATAAATGTAATTTATCAAATTTTTGTTTTGTAGTTAGTGATTTCTTCTCTAAGGTCATGAGAATATTCTTCTGTGTTTTCTTCTAGAAGCTTCATTCTAAAAGAAGTTTGCTCTTACTCTTGGACTTATGATTGTTGTGTATAGTGTGAAGTGGGAGGTCATATTTTTATAATATTTCCCTTAATGTGGATATTCAGCAATTATGGAGTACAGTGTGCTAGTTTTATATACAATTTCATCAAAGTGGTTAACATAGCTTTCATCACATTTTCTTAGTTATTGTGTTAAGATATTTATATTCTACCCTTAGTAGATTTAACACGTACCCTTGTAATGTGCACCATAGGTATAGTCCCACCAATCATCCTCCCTCCCTCTCATTCCCCTTCTTCTTGGGCTATAGTTGGTTTCATTTGGAAGTGTGGATACTTATAAATGAGTTTCATAGTAGGGCTAAGTACATTGGATAGTTTTTCTTCCATTCTTGAGACACTTTGCTAAGAATATGTTCCAGCTACATCCATGTAAACATGAAAGAGATAAAGTCTCCATCTTTTTTAAGGCTGCATAATATTTCATAGTGTACACATACCACAATTTCTTAATCCATTCATGGGTCGATGGGCACTTGGGCTTCCTCCATGACTTAGCAATTATGAATTTGGCTGCAATAAACATTCTGGTGCAAATATCTTTTTTATAAAGTGATTTTTGGTCCTCTGAATATATTCCTAATACAGGAATTGAAGAATTGAATGGCAGGTCTATTTTTAGATCCCTAAATGATCTCCAAACATCTTTCTAACAGGAGCTAATTAGTTTGTATTCCCACCAGCAGTGCAGAGTGTTCCCTTTTCTCCACATCCATGCCAACATCTCTGGTTTTGGGATTTGTGATGTGGGCTAATCTTACTGGAGTTAGATGATATCTCACAGTGGTTTTGATTTGCATTTCTCTGATGATTAAGGATAATGAGCATTTTTTCATGTGTCTGTAGGCCATGCTCCTGTCTTCTTCAGAGAATTTTCTCTAAGTCCCTTGCCCACACTGAGATGGGATCACTTGTTCTTTTCTTGCTAATGCATTTGAGTTCTCAGTGGATTCTGGTTATTAAACCTTTGTCAGAGATACAACCTGCAAATATCTTCTCTCATTCTGAGGACTGTCTCTTGCTTTACTTACTGTGTTTTTGGCTGTGCAGAAGCTTTTTAGTTTGATGAGGTCCCTGTAGTGTATTTTTAGTGTTGCTTCAATTGCCTGGGAGGGTCCTCCTCATAAAATATTCTCCCAGGCCGATTTCTTCAATGTTTTCCCTGCACTTTCTTCTAATATTTGTATAGTTTTATGTCTTAAATTTGAATCTATAATCCAGTTAGAGTCTATCTTTGTTAATGGTGAAAGGTGTGGGTCCAGTTTTAGTCTTCTACAGTCACCGCCAGTTCACCCAGCATCATTTGTTAAACAGGGAATCTTTTCCCCACTGAATGTTTTTAATTGGCTTGTCAAAGATCAAATAACAGTAAGTAGCTGGGTTCATCTCTTGGTTCTCTATTCTGTTCCATACATCCACTTCTTTGTTTTTGTGCCAGTACCATGCTGTTTTGATCACTGTTGATTTATAGTATAGTCTGAGGTCTGGTAGTGTGATTCCTCCTTCTTTGTTTTTATTTCTGAGTAATGTCTTGGCTATTCGAAGTTTTTTCTGATTCCATATAAAACGAAGTATTATTTTTTTGAGATCTTTAAAGTATGACAGTGGAGCTTTAATAAGGATTGCATAAAAATTGTATATTGCTTTGGGTAATATGGACATTTTAACAATATTTATCCTTTCCAGCCATGAGCATGGTATGTTTTTCCATTTGTTAAAATCATCAGCTATTTCTTTTCTCAGAGTTTCATAGTTCTCTCTATAGAGATCTTTCACATTCTTTGTTAGGTAAACTCCTAAATATTTCATCTTCTTTGGCACTACTGTGATATAGGCCTATTCAACATTTCCACTTCATTTGGGCTTAGTCTAAGAAGGTGGTGTGCTTCTAAGTATTAGTCTATTTCTTTCAGATTTTCATATTTCTGAGAATAGAGTTTCTTGTAATATTCATTAAATTTGTTTGAATTTCTGTGGAGTCTGTTGTTATTTTTGTCTTTGTCATTTCTGATTGATGAATTTCAAGATTTTACTCTTTTATTCCTGGTTAGGCTAGCCAAAGGTTTATCTATCTTGTTGACCTTTTCAAAAAACCAACTTTTTGATTTATTGATCTGTTGTATAATCCTTTTGTTTTCACTTTCATTTAATTCTGCTCTAATTTTGGTTACTTCTTTTCTTCTGCTGGTTTTGGGATTGGGATGTTCTTCCTTTTCCAGTTGCTTGAGATGTCCCATTAAGTTGTTAACTTCCTTTCTCTTGAGGAAGGCTTGCAATGCTACAGATTTCCCTCTTAGGACTGCCTTTGCAGTATCCCAGAAGTTCTGGTAATTCATGTCTTCATTATTGTTTTGTTCCAAAAATTGGGTAATTTCCTTCTTAATCTCATCTGTGATCCAGCTATCACTCAGCATAAGGTTATTTAGTTTCCATGTTTTTGTATGAGTATGCAGATTCCTGTTGTTACTGAGTTCAACTTTTATTCCATGATGGTCCGAGAAGATGCAAGGAATAATTTCTATTTTAAATTTGCTGAGGTTATACTTGTGACTTAAGATGTGATCAATTTTGGAGGATGTTCCATGGGCTGATGAGAAGAATGCATATTTAGTTTTGTTAGGATGGAACGTTCTGTAGATGACTGTTAAATCCAAATGTTGAATGGTTAAGTTTAAATCTAAAATTTCTTTGTTTAGCTTCTTATTGGAGGATCTATTCAACACTACCAAAGAAGTGTTAAACTCTCCGACTGTTACGGAGCTGGAGGAAATCAAGTTGTGCATGTCTGTTAAGAGTCTCTGTCATAAATTGAGGTGCATTCTGGTTGGGTACATAAATGTCAATAATTGAAATTTCATCATGTTGAGTGTTACCCTCAGCAAATATGAAGTGACCATCCTTATCTTTCCTTATTTTGTTGGTTTAAAGCCTTTTGTATCTGTGAATAAAATTGCAACACCTGCTTTTTCTGATTTCCATTTGCCTGACATATAGATGACCATCCCTTCACCCTGAGTCTATGTTTATCTTTTAAAGTAAGATGAGATTCTTGTATGCAACAGATATCTGGCCTGAGTTTTTATATTCAGTCTGCCAACCTGTGCCTCTTTAGAGGACAATTTAAGCCATTCACATTAATTGAGAGTATTGATAAGACTGGTGAATTTGGGGTATTGAGTTTTTTGAAAGTCCAGTGGATATTTTTAATCCTTTCACCACTGTAGAAGTT